CGGTCGGCCGGCGGCTCGGCCGCGGCGTGGTCGATGCTGCCACGGCGGCTCCTAATCCGACCCAAGTTCAGCCGAGTCGTGACAGTCGGCTGACACATCACGACTCATTCCGTCCCGACGACTGCCTACTAACTCGCGCCGGCCAGTCATGAAATGATACCGCCCAGTCGGGGCAGGGACATATCACCGTCCAGTCTCAGTTTATCCGAAAAGATATTTTAAAAATTAAATATAACTAAATTAGCCCTTCCGTATTTCGGGGTCTTCTATTTCGCTGAAGCCAAAGGTCTTGCCAAAACAAATTCGCCCAACACCGTGCACCTCTGTCCAGCACGAGACCAAAGGTCGCGTCAGACACGAGTCAGCTCGAGTTAGGTCGGGTCGGATCCGGTCAGGCTAGGCGAAGCTCGGCACGCCAGGCATGTTGATGAACACAGCAGGGCCGACGCTCCTCTATTGATTACTGAGCACTGGAATGCACCGACCCGCCGTGCCACCGCTCCCCATTTACTGGCAATGTCACCGGCGGAATCCGTGAAATGGTCCCGGTGAAAGTCACCTTTTCAGAATGTCTCCGACCACAGCTTCCACGGACGCCGGCGAGCGGAGACGACGACGAGGGCCTCGCAAAATATGAGAGCCGAGCATAGCAGCATCATTACGGAGCTATCTTAAAACCCAGCACCGCGATAATTCAGCTGAATATGCTGCCGGTTTTATAGCTCGGGCACGCATTCTCACAAAGGTCATACGATGTCGCAAAGGTCGACGCGGTAGAAGTGAATGGCTTCCTGGCCAAGATCACGAAACACATTTAACCACGATGGGTGGGAGCTTTAATACGAAAAATCACTATCAAGCTAGTATATCGCCATCACTATATCAACCTTCCCCTAACGCTGACACTCGATACCACTCAGAAACAACTCTACGCCACCGCTTGTAGCGACTGGCGGGCTGCTACGTCTGGCGTGGAGCGGTGGTCTGATTTCGCGAGCCGTATGCGGCGCCAGGGTCACCGTCACCTCGCTCCCAGTGCCATGACACAGAAACACCGCGCGACACAGGCGGTTAGCCTGTCGGGTGCCCCGATCGGGACAGCCCGTATGCACGCCTGCCTCTGTCTGTATGTGTGTCTGTTCGGTTCGCCGCAGCAAAATACATTTGTTAGCAGCACAGTGACATTTTTGTGCATATTTGAGATGCTAACAATGCGTTCTTCATCGGATGAGAGCACGTTTTTGTCGGTTTTCACCCGGATTCTGACTCAATGACAGGGTGGAACAGTCGAGAGTGGAACAGACCACCCACATCCAGCTCCAGAAACTAGACAGCGCGGCTGACAACGCGTCTCAGCCGAGCGCCCCTCCCCGGCCCTCCAACAATAATTTCAGGCCGACACCTGCTGACCTCCCTGACCTCTGTGACCTCTGCGACCTCCGCTGACCTCCACTGACCCTGTCAGAACGAGGCCGCCCCATCTGGGACCGTGCGCCCGCCACTGCGAGCAGCGCGGAGTCAGCCGGACTCACGGCGCCCACGATATATGGTCCGTGCCAACAGGCAGTACGTGAACGGCCTGATCTGAAGTAGAAAGCGTGTAGCGGCCGGCCCGCCGCCTCAGCTAGACAGGTGCATCAAATACACCGGATCAAGTCGTCACCGTCATCCCTGTCATCGTCATCATCGTCAAAACCATCGTCAGACCATCGTCATCATACGGATGCAGAATACCGTCGCATGTAGCCGCATATGAATCAGAATCCATTCCCCGCACCGTTCCGCGTCCTACACCACGACCACAACATTCCCCCCCCTCCCCCCCGCGCGGTCACTCCTGCGGACGGAGCCAGCGCCGAGTCATGCCGGCTCAACACCTTCCCGTGCAGCCTCGCCCAAAGGAAGCCGTTCCCGACACCCACACATTCCCAACAGTGACTCTCAGCCACGCCACAAACGCCTTACGCCACCACACCGTGCCGTGCCGCCAGCGCACGCCATAAAAAAACATGGCGAACTATTAGAGATGCAAGTTTCTAACACACAAAAACGGTGCTGGGCTTGGAGTTGGGCCAGCGGGATTTTAAAACGTCTAAGCTCATCGGCAAGCCAGACTTATGATAAGCTCGGTAAGGAAAACTTTTCACTGAAAAGACGGCTGCCTGGGCTTGAGACATGACGGGCCAGAAATCCTTCTCATCACAGGCATGGCAGTACTGGGCTTTGGTTTGATGGTACTTGCATCTCTTCCAGCCATTACACAATGCGCCGACGGCGCCAGCAGCCAGCTCAGCGTGGGTCGGCGCGGAACGAATGGAACACTCCAGAATCACAAAGACTCCAGAATCCCTCTCAGACGGTCATTTGCCCCCCTCCCTTCCTCTCTCTCCTCCCAACCCAGCTCAGCGGAGACTGTCGAACCGTTGAAGCAGACACCCGACTCCCAGCCCGACCACGCGGACGGCTGAGGGAGGACAGGGCGACGCCGGACGATGCGGTCCGACAGAGTGATTGATTGCTGACACTGGTGGGAGTGGTTTTGCACATGTCGTACCGATACCAAAACAAACAGCGCCGTCCCAAGTTGGCCATCTCAGTGGCCTCAGCGAACTAATGACTGTCGGTTTCTGAACTTGTCCGTTGCAAGCGGCATGTCGGCTTTAGATTCAGCCATCCCGCTTCAGCCGTTATTTATGGGAAGTTATGTGATGCAACGACGACTGTGTGCTGAACGACCGTCCTCAGCCATAATACACGGCCTTGAGTCGTAATGGGCGAGCGGCGATGACTGGCAGACTACAGCGTCCGTGACGGCGTTTGGGTGCAGCGCGGCGCGGCGGCGGGGGCGTTATATGTACGAGCGACGGTGACGACTTTGAAACCGGGCGGGGGCGACAGGGGGAAGCCCGAGGAGCCTGCAGGGAGGAGGCGATATCGGACGACAAAGTGCGTCATGCGTCTTGGCCAACTCATTATGCCAGCCCATTAGAAGCGGCCCGCCGCGGCGCGGCGCGTAACTGCAGCGCTCCTCCGTGTCGCCTGCCGCATAACAGACGACAAACGGTCCCGGCAGGAATATTTATGTGCACCGCGAAACGGAGCACAGAACTGCTTTGATCCAGCTGGGAGGCCGAGCAGTTAAAGCCAACAAAAACCGGTAGCTCACATTCCAACCAGCCTCACGCACTTGACTCTTGCGGCTTGAAAAGTTAACGAGCGCTCGTCAGCAATCACAGAGCGCTGTTTTTCTGTCTCGACAGTCTAATCTTGGCTAGTCGAAATGAAGTGAGTTCCACTGCCGCCTACTGCTACCAGTCGGAAACCGCAGCTTCCTACCGGCATCTGACAGGGTCACGGCAGGCGGCCCGTTCTTGCTCGCTTCCGGCGTCAGCGCAAATTGGGCCCGACCACAAGAACTGGCAACAGCAGCGCTCGCGTTAGCCCGACCATGGCGAGTCAGAACCGCCTACACTGACCCGACGGCCGCGGGTCAGAAGGGTGGTGACCTGTCGACCTGTCGGGTCACACGAGCTACCGCTGCTACCAGTCACAGGTCAATGTGTTTGACCTGCACTCTGGTCAGCCGTCACGGCGCCACAGTTTCAAGGAACGGGTGCCGAACGGGAGCAGTCTCAGGCGGCAACAGAACCAAACATTACTAGCTTTGGTGGCTTGACAGCCTATCGTCGCTGGTTTCAGTCGTCTTTTGCTCATCAAGAACTGTAGCGGCGGTAGCTATGATCGAACCACCCAACCACAGCTCTGACGAATAGTACCCGACTGACCCATGAACAGACCATATTTCAGCCTACTAAAGCCCATATCTCACACAATCAGACATATCCGCTCCCTAATGCAGCGTTACCACCAGAAATCGCTCCCAATGTTCCGCTAGGGTTCGGGCTAATTCATGATTTCCGCCAACGATTTGGATGTTATCAACACATCAAACGGAAGTCGTTATGAGTGATTCTGTTAAAAATCTCCTTCCGGTCTTCAGAGATAACAACCCAATAACACGTCACTTAGTCCATGTATTTGGCAAGGCCACTGCGCTTTCCCTTTCATCAATTTCTAATCCAGTCACCAAATCTCCAGCTCTGCCTCCTCCATTCCCCTTTAGTAGGCGTACTTCCTCCCTGTGCAGCCAGCGGACCGCTCCGCAGGGCCGGCTCGCCTTCCGCGGACCGATTCACCTCGGTCCATTTACCTCGGCTGCCTCCATCAGAGCTGCCACCACCAGAGCCCATACATCGCCCCCTTCTGAGAACCTGACCGGCCTGAACTAAAAACTGGCCAAATGGCACGGTTCGCACCGATTTACGAAAGCAGCACCGATAGCGCGTCAAGTGTTTTCAGGCGCGTAGAAGCGGCTGAAGTCTATGAGTCAGTTTGGAATTTGGCCCGATCTCAGACCGATTTCACGCTGACCTTTGGCCAGCTGAAACGAGGGGCCTCTTGCCAAACATTCAGGGACTCGCTGCCATCCAACATGTTTCGTCCAGCGAGGGACGGTGCACATATTGGCAGAGACATTCATAAGTGCATTCCGCGAATGCCTTGCGCCAGCCAAGAAGGGCAGCTAATTAATTCAACCAGTGCATAAATCCAGGAGAGCTGGCACCGTCACTGATTTGGACAATCTCACTAGTCACAAGAGACGACATCACTCGCAATGAATGTGCCCATGTCAATGTCTCGACGTTTCTGTTTCAACATTTCTGCTTCAAATGAAAGCCCAATCAATGAGAAACCAGCATCAACTCGCAAATGTCTTCGAATCTCACGACTGAATGCCTGAGTGTTATGATTTGACACTATTTCGTAAACATTTTCACGTCACGGGACAAGAGCCCCCCCCCCCCTCCATCGACTAAATTCCTCGAAAAATGGGTTTCATTTTTGTTCTTGTCCCACCGCTTCTTGTTCTGTCTTGTCCCCACCAGTCCCACCCCATCCCATATCCCATCCCACCCCATCCCGCCCATCTCGGTACTCACATGCTGGTCGTCATGTTTGAGCAGCGTCGAGAGCGAGTCGACGCAGCAGGGCAGCGCGCCGTCCTGCGGCTCCATCTTGGTGCAGAGTCGCGACACCACGGCCATGGCCGAGTGCAGGGTGTCCTTGTGGATCAGGTGGCCGTTGTCGCGCACGAAGCTGAGCACGCAGCTGAGGCCGCCTGCCTCGAACACGGCGCCCGCCTCGCGGGTGCACACCAGCTCCAGAACCTGGCGGGGTAGAGAGTTGGTGTGTCGCGTGGAGCCGAGTGCAAGCTGGTATATAATCACACATTGGAAAAGGGAAGTTTACAAAAACGCAAAACTTCCGAGCCAAACTTCAAAGACGATAGCTGCGCTAAAACATGTTCACTTATCACAAACATCTACAACTTAATCCTCAAGCCCTTCCTCTTCTACGTCGATCGGCGGCAACGGAGTAGTTCAACAGACAATACCTTCCAAATACCATTCCATCTAAACCCAACATCCCCTCCCTTACAGTGGCGTCTCCCATGGATCCAGCACGCCTGGCACTTTTTCTAGCGCCTCTCCCACTGTTTCACCCACCTTGATGCACTGTTCGGCCAGGTCCTTGCTGGAGCGGCTCGTCAGCTCGGCCACCACCAGCCGGTTGCACATGGCCTTGACGGCGCCGTCGACGGAGACGATGCGTCGGGTGCACTCGGCGCTCACGTCCAGGTAGTAGGTGATGGCGCGCGCCGTCACCTCCAGCACGTTATCCGGAGCGCACTCGTCCAGGAAGATGCGGCACAGAGCCGGAAGGAAGGTGCGCGGCGGACAGCTGCCGGAGAGCGAAACGGGAAATGGTTAGAGTTAGACTACAGCGGTAAACAGTGCTTCATACGAGTGGCGTGCGCAGTCGGTTCGGGGCTAACAGTTCAGGAGTGGCACGAGTTAGTCAAGGGTGGTCCAGAGGGGGATGATAATTAGTTGGGTTTTAGGGCGTCCGGACTGCTAAAGCCATGGACCTTGGGGAGGGAGGGGAATTGCAGAGTTCAGGACGGGGCGATCATAGTTTAGATGAGGGCGGGGAAGGACAAAGGAACACAATGTGATGCAGTTAATGAGTGCGATAATCGGCGACTCTGAGTAGGTGCGATAGACAAACATAGCCGTTTCTACAGAATACAGGTTTCAGGAACAGTGGTCCAGGTTTACATAATGCATATAGGTTTACATGTGTATTGTGTAATGTACGCATTACCGGTGAGTCATATGACATAACAACACACACTTCAGCTTTGATCTGATAGTGGGGAAATGCAATTTGTTGCATGACACAATGCCTTACAACGCATCGCCGACACCAGACGTCCAATTGAGGACAGGTGACTGTCCCGACCCCAGACACCCCGATATCAACGGTGCCGGGCAGTGATGGCACGCCGGCACTGCCATCAAATATGGAGCAGTCAGCCGTCCAGGTGTCGTGCCCTCGACCCTGAGCCGTCCCTGGTACGGGCCGCCGCGACCCGTCTCCAACACCTTAACCCGCGCCCTGCTGGGGGGGGGGGTGTTTGAACACCCCCCTTGTGGTTTTTCGCAAATATCTCAAAAACGGCGGCGCGGAGCGCCGCCGTTTTTGGTACACCTTATCATACATCAATTCTACACATGTTGTGAAAATTTCAGACCAAGGTCATTCAAGGTCAGGTCACCAGGTCACTTGAAGTGACCTCACCTCATAAAAACTTTCAATGTCTGTCATAGCTACACCGAGTGACCGATCGCTTTGAAACTTTCAGCAATTGCTAAGAGCAATAGCATGTACAAAATGTATATCTCAGAATTTTGATATCGATGACCTAAGGTCAGGTCAATTTTGCGACCTCCCCATTATAAGTCAATGGGAGAAAATTGAAATGCGCCTCTTTTGGATGAAAGACATCATACACACTCCCAAACACCGAATTACAAGTGGTTTAGACACACTGAACTCGAAAATGGTGTCCGTGACCCTTGTTTATGCCCTGAGGTCATCTTAGGTCACGAATGGTATCTAACAGTTTTTCGCAAATAACTTTTGATAGAGGCATGCTAGAGCGATGAAAACGCCTTAGATGTGTTCAGCTCGACGATACGGATCGACTGATATGCAACATGACCCTTTCCGGTCAGGTCATGACCTTGACCTGAGGTCAAATTTTCAAGTTGACCTTTCAAGGTCAAGTTATAGTTCATTCGATGCGTCTTGACGAGAGGAACACGATGCCGGTAAAAGTAAGCTCGTACAAGGCTTGGGTCAAAAGTTATTGCAGAAAAACTGTTTTCGAAAATATCGGCTATTTTTGCAGTTTTTGCCCCCTGCAGGCAAAACCGTTGACCTTAGGTCAAATCTGAGAGAATTACTCAGAAAGGGCGTTAATAGGGCTATCGAATGCGCTTTTCCGCGGCGCTGTAGCTCTATTGGTTCCCGAGTTATGCGTTGGCTTCTTGGAAATTTTCGACATTCGACCTGGAAATCGGCGAAATTTTGCCTTCAATGACCTCTGGTGACCTGACCTTTGACCTGACCAAAAAATTGACCGAAGTGATTTCGTCATTATTTTTTACGCTCTTTCGAACGCCGCCTTCCGCGTATCGCTACGTGGCCCAGGAGCCGAGTTACAAGGGGGGGGGGTGTTCAAACACCCCCCCCCCCCCAGCAGGGCGTGGAAATCCAGGACCCCCAGCAGGGCGCGGGTTAAACACGATAACCGAGATTCCTCGCGTCGGGAAGCCATTCCACGGCCCACGCTTGACCGTGCTATGTTATGGAGCAGGCTCCCACTGCGTCTCGCCGTCCCGATGGGAATTCCTCGAAAAAAAAAATAAACACCGCGGTTCGGTCGAGACGATTGTGTTCACAGAGCAGGGTGCAGGGTGTTGGTCGTGACGGACGCCCACGGCCGTCCGGGACGGGGGCGATTCGTAAGAGCGGCGCTCGACCGACGCGAGAAAGCGACACGCCCGCCGGTTCCGAGTCAACACTGCCCAGATTTACGATTGAACAGCGGGCTGAAACCAGACAATTTGAGGCAATCCAGTGATCCCACAGCGGGAAGCTGGTCTTTCTGTTTTCACCAGAAATCAAACATAAATCAGAGCCAGGTGTCTCATCATGTAGACACTCAATAAGCGACGCTGCAATCATTCATTATCGTAGGTAATACCCCAAAACGGTATCAGTGGATGAGAGTCTGCTTCATCTTGCTGATCACTGTCAAAGAAAAAAGACCCACGCTATCATCAATCTTTTACGACCCGGTCTTTTACGGTACGGCCTAGACCAGCCCCATCCAACCGAGCGATAGTCAGCGCAAACAGTGTGCCCCAGGCGCCTGCGAGTATGCCGCGCAAGCGAGCAAGCGCGAGCGATGTGAAATGTCTCGGAATTCACAGGAACAACGGCAGCAGACAGGCATCCATGTCGAAGGGTAGTGAGTCCAAATGAGGAGTGATTGGAGGCGGGGATGTCCTCTCGAGCACGTATATCATAGATAATCAAAGCCATCAGACGTACGGCTGCAACGACAAAGGCGAGCAATTGAGCACTCAGCCGAGCCGAGCGATCACTACTCCGCCGTCAGTTGGTCGAGGTTTCAGGGCATGACAAGTCACTCCGAGAGCTCAATTTGCGCTCAGTCAGCAGATCAGATAACACTCGTCCACCACTTCCTGCCTCCTGGACAAAGGTGACCATTTGTGCGCTCATCCAGAGTAATTGACCAATAAGTGCGGTATTTTCCTTCGTAATGGTAACATGAGCTCGATGGAGGCGATGCAAGTTTGCATTTAAGTGAGCACGTGGCCATCTTAATAGCAATTATTGAGTATGTATAGCATTAATTCCGTTAATCTCTGAGTTTGAGTGGCATTAATGTAGGCGGTAAGTGTTTCATCACCACGTTGATATTTGGTATCTGCAAGTCCAAGCCCGGAGGGTTATGTCCCAATAAAAGGCATTACATTTATGCACTTTATAATGGCCGCAGGTATCGCCTAGCAGCATCAGGGACTTCACTATTTCAGACATAACGATAATGCGATCAAATATAATAAGTCAATAAGGACTGTACTAGCTAGCCGCAGAGGGTGCACCGCCGCCTGCCCGGCTCTCCCATGACGCAATCGTGCCCTAATCGCCTACATATGTCAACAGGCGGCCTGGTCCCGTGTCGGTGGCGCCCGCCCGGCTCAGTATCCGTGGCGGCCGGGCCAACCGTGACGGCACGAAGACGCCATTGTGCCGGCCACGGGCCGCGGCCGCCAGCTGCACACTCAGGGGGGTCACGGTGCAGCGTCCACACACCCCTACGCTGACTGTATCTACACAGGACTGGGCAGTCGTGACAGCACACCGGTCCCGGCTGCTGAACCCGCACTCTGCACCGCCTCGTGACATCACGGCAGCAGAGCCACCCTTGCTCGCTGTAACGGACAGGCCGGACCACAGACCAGAGTTTGGACGCGGTCGGCCGGCGCCAGGCGGCGGCATGGCTGTGGTAATGGAGGTACTGGCAGAGAGCGCAGTCTTAGTTCCTGTTGATACTTGAGTTCCGCTCATAAGACAGGGTTCAACAGCTACCAGCCATCAAAGCAGCTCAAATCCCACTCGAATACCTGACCTATCCACACGTACACCTACACATATCCTCTCATGATTGTGTTGATGCCAAGCCACCGCTATCTTACTTTCCTGATAACTAGTTACTATCGGAAGATAAGCGGCGTTGCCCCCCCCCCCCCCCATACACAGTGTGGTCCACGAACCGCCCTCATCCCAACACCCTCGCCAGCACGATTTGGGCACGGCCCAACATGACAACTGATGTTACATCGCTTGGGCTTGGCGGTGGGCAGCTCACAGCTACCAAACAAGTCGATGAACCTATAAAAGTCGGCGGAACCAGCACAGGCTGTCTACGAACTGCCACAGGTCGCGGTTGCATCGACAGACGCGACAATCCAAAATCACGACGGGCTGCCTATATTAGCAACTGGTCGGCAACAGCTCCCGTGCTGGCAAAATGCCAAAAGTCGTCGGGTGCTGGGTCGGCGAGCTCGCACCCGGTCACAGCAATGACGTCACATGTCAACAAAGCAATCCGTGCAAACTGGAAACTGGGCCACCGCAGGCCCCGACTTTTGTAATCAAACAACACTGCAGCATGGGCCACGGAATACCTGTTATGGCGGAACGTCATGGAATTATAACGAAGATAACATTGTTCTGCACAAATTTACAAACAGTATAGGGCGGTTGGTCTACCAGTGCCAAGCCATCGAAGCACCGCGCTATGATATCGAACATACCTTCATGCATGCAATGTTAACATGGGTGAGCGACCAAACATGCAAACTCCATTCTTCAAAGCCACATCACGCGATGCAACATGCCGAATTACTGACATTACAGACATCCTCTCGCACAGCTGCCATTACGAGACGCGGCGCGGCGGAGGCAGGCACGATGTCCTGTTTGTCAGCGAGCCCCACGCGGGCGGCTCAGATTCCCTGCACGCAGCGCGCGCCGACGGCAGGCGCGTCGGTCCGACGCCGGGTCGGTGACGGCAGCGACGCGACGAGCCGGGCCTGACGACACGCAGGTCACGCAGCGCGCGACGCCCGCCGACGCCGGCGAGTCAGAGAGCCCGGAGCCGAAAAACACCCCCGGCAGAGGACAGAATGAATAACGGGCGCGACAAAACTGCGGACTCATTTACCAGAAGGCCACGCCAGACCAAAACAGGATTATTAGTCAGTCTAATGGACATACACAGAAGGTGAAATAATTTAGCA